GTGCATTTGGGGTTCTGTTCAGGAAGTCCTTACCTATGCCTTTATTTTAAAGTTTTATTTAATATATCTTCCAACAGAGTCAGTGTTTCTGCTTTAATATCTAGGTCTTTGATCCATGTTGATTTTATTTTAGTATAGGAAGAGAGATATTGGTCTTAATTCATTCTTTTGCAAGTGAAAACCAGTTTTCTCAGCACCATTTGTTGAAGAGGCTGTCTTTCCTCCCACATATATTTTTGGCCCCTTTGTCAAAAAAGACCTGATGGCTGAATGTGCCTGGGGTTGTTTCCACTGCCTCTGTTCTGTTCCATTGATCTGCATGTCTGTTTTTATGCCAATACCATGCTGCCTTTATCACTAGAGCTTTGAAATATAACTTAAAATCTAGGATTATGATGCCTCCTATTTGCTCTTGTTACCCAGAATTACTTTTGCTGTTCAGATTTCTTCTGGTCTAATGTAAATTTTAGGATTGTTTTATCTAGTTCTGTGAAGAATGCTGTTGATATTTTGACTGGGATTCCATTAAATGCATATATCAATTTTGGTAATATGACCATTTTGACAATATTGGTTCTACCTATCCAGGAACAGATCTTTCTATTTTCTTTTCTTTTTTTTTTTTCATTTGTATTTAGATTTATTTCCTATAAACAATGTCTGATGTCCTCTTCAATTTCTTTTTTTCTATACTATGGTTTTCATTATCAAGGTCTTTCACCACCTTGCCTAGATTAATTTCTAGGTATTTAATTTTTTTTGGAGCTATTGTTTTCCTAATTCTTTTTTGGTCTGTTCTTTTTTGTTGGTATACAGTAATGCTATTGATTTTTGTGTATTTATTTTGTATCTTGCTACTTTGCTGAATTGTTTTTATTAGCTCTAGAAGTCTATTGGTGGAGTTTTGGGAATCTTCTTTGAAAAGGATCATGTCATTTGTGAATAAGGATAGTTTTACTTCTTCCTTTCCTGTACATATTCCTTTTATTGTTTTCTCTTCCTGATTGCTTTTTTCAAGCTTTTTATCATCAGTGGATGTTGGATTTTGTCAAGGCAGGTCACGTGATTGTTATCCTTCTGTTCATGTGATGTATTACATTTATTACATTTATTACATATGTACTACATTTATTGATTGACATATGTCAAACCATCCTTGCATACCTGGGATGAAGACTACTTGGTCGTGATGTATTCTATATAATCTTTTTACTTATTTGTTGCTTTCTATTTGTCAGTGTCTTGTTGAGAGGATTTTGTAGGGTTTTTTTTTTCTTTTTTCTCTGTCTCTCTTTTTTTTTGGTTAAGTCCTTGTTTAGTTTTGGTATCAGGGTAATGCTAGCTTCCAAGGATGTGTTTGGTAGTACTCTTTCCCTTTCAATTTCATTAAAGAGTTTGTGGAATAATGGCATTAGATCTTCCCTGAAGTTCTGGTAGAATTATGTGATGAATCCATTGGTTTCTGAGCTTTTCTTTTTTGGTAGAGTTTTTATTACTGTTTCTGTTTAGTTCCCAGTTATTGGTCTATTCAGTTTTTATACCTTCTTGGTTCAGTTTTGATAATTCATATGTATCTAGGAATTTCTCCATTTCTTGTAGGTTCTACAAGATATAAATTTTTGAAGTAGTTTCTTATTATCCTCTGGATTTCAGCGGTGTTTGTTGTGATTTCAGCTTCTCCATTTCTAATTACATTGATATGGGTTTTTTCTCTCCTTTTTACCTTAAGTTTGGCTAAGGGTTTATCAGTCTTGTTTATCCTTTCAATGAATCAACTTTTTGGATTAGTGTCCTTATAAGAAGAGACATGAAAGCTTGTCCTCACTTTCTGCCATAGGAGGATACAATGAAAATATTGCCATCTGCAAACTAGGAAGTGGCTCTCATCAGATACTGATGTGTTGCCACTTTGATTACCTTCATTTTGGACATCCTGGCCTATAGAACTGTAATAAATAAATGTTTGTTGTTTAAGCCAAGTAATCTGTGGGATATTTTATAGCAGTTTGAACTAAGTTCTAGGCCAGTGTTGGTGAACCTATGGCACATGTGACCCAGGGGGGTATTTGTATCATTGAAAGCTCTAAAAGGTTCACCCTACTGATCTAGAATATTACTGTTAATTTTAGGTTTTCTCGCATTCAGGCTCTTCTAACAGTTCATCTGCTATACATTGCTCACTCATTTCTGTTTCTAAAGCATAAGTCTGATCATGTCTTTTCTTTGGTCAGCCCTTCAGTGACTTTCTTACTTACAAAATGTAGTTTTGGGCTGGGGATTTAGCTCAGTGGTTTCACCGCCTGCTACGCAAGCACAAGGACCGGAGTTCAATCCCCGGTACCAAAAAAAAATAAAGGTCACAAAATGTAGTTTAAACTGTTTCCTCGCCTTCCATCTTATGATCACATTACTTCTTCCATTTTTATTGGAAAGAAAATGGAGCGCAGTGTCATACTGTGGTTATGGGTGGAGAATCTAGAATCAAATTGGATAGATTTAAATATTGGTTTTGTTACTTAGTAAAACTTGAAGCATTTTACTTAAACTTGTTTAGCATCAGAGTTCTCAACTGAAAGATAGCCTTAGGCTGGGGATTTAGCTCAGTGGCACCATGCCTGCCTCGTAAGCACAAGGTCCTGAGTTCGATCCCTGGTACCAAAAAAGAAAAAAAGAAAGATAGGCTTAAGGCTAATATATGGAGATGGTGTTATTTCTAATGTGTTTAGTACAATGTCTGGTATGTGACAAAACTACAATAAACATTAACTATTGCTATTATTCTTGGCTTTCCTAGTTCCCTTTCCCAAACTAGTATACCCCGTCAAATGCTACCTTCTTCAAGCTCCCAAACCATAAATTCTCTCATATCTGCATTATTGTTTCATTTGTTTTTATCCTTACCTGTCTTGTGTTAGTGTTTGAGTATACGGTTTATGTCCTCTTGGGTTTTAAGATTGTTGAAGGCTAGAGCTATGTCTCAATTGTGTGTGCCATAGTTTCTGGCATGACATATATGAACAGTTGCTTATTTATTATGTGACTGAATTGTGGTTCTACTTTGCCATATTTGTTATGTATTTGACCTAGAGTAGTTGCCTGTTAACTGCCTTTGAAATAGAGTCTTCCAAATTTGTGATGTTTTTAGATTGTTAGATTATATCTTTCCAACCTTGACAATAGTTTGGCACAATAGTGCTATATTTTCTCTCAGGCTATTTTTGTTACTTGTTTATGAACTTTAGATCTCTTATAAAATGTAATTCTAATTTTATTTAATTTCAAAATAAAATTTAAATTAGGTGTCTTCCTCTGTTGTTGAACCCCTGTGGGCCAGCAAATCATACAAAGGGCTTCAAACAAGGATGATCCCACATTTAATGAGACTGGTATAGTCACTTATCACATTAAAAGGAATTAAATATGCTTCTAATCCCATAAGACTTTTGCTGCTTAAGATTGGAGCTGCAAATAATTTGCTTTTAGGAAATTTCATTATATTTAGATTAAGTTCACAGGAGAGTAGGGATCAATCATTTGAGATTATCTGAAACTTAAAAGGGTGACTGTGATTAACTGTTGCATTACACAATTTTAAAACTGGATTCTGTGAAAGAAAAAGCAAAAATGAAGCTGGCAAGTGGAGGTATTTCTCCTTCCTTCACTAGATTATGAGCTTTCCTTCAAGGGAAAGGAACATGTTTTGCTGTCTGTCTCTAAGCTTTGTCAGTGCTTTAGGCAGTGAATATTTGTTGAGTGTCATTTGTTGAGTCAAGTTCTAAAATCTGGGAAATTGTATCTAATGTTATTTTTATGGTATTAGAAAGCTTTCTTACTCCCTAGCACATTACTTTGAAATGATGTGGCCCCAGTGTGGTTTTGAAAAGCCTTTTATGAAGAAGAAAAAATAAAACCAAATCTTA